GAGTCATCCTTTGTTTAGATCAACGACAGATGAACCTTGAGTTGAGGATTGCGAAAACCTCTGGAGTTGATGCATCTTCAATCTCTTGTGCTTCTCTTTTCTTTCCTTCTCTCCCTTATGTTTGAGAATTGCGCAGAGGTGAAACCGATTCAAAGTTAGCGAACGAGAATGGGAAAATAGAAGTGGTGTTCGACGACAAAGATCACTCCTTGGGTTAAGAAAGCGGGTCTTGGATACCCGTTCGTTTGTTGGGGTAACCACACTGGGCTAGAAATGAAAATTGAACTATGAGAGGCCCTAGAGCAACCCGCCCTAAATACCATGTAAAAAACATTAACCATAAAATGATAAACCTTCATTAATCAATTCAACAAATGGCAATGAGAATAACAAATTCTTCTAGGATGTTTTGCAAAGAAGACAACACGGCCCTTCCTTGAAGGGTGTTAAAGAAACCTCAAATCTATAGGACGAGACAATGATGGAGTAACATTCTAATCAACTCCCCACCTTTAATATAATGTGATATTCTTTGCATGAATTTTAGGATCATCAACTAACTAAATAATTAACACTAATCACTTTGATTAACACATGTTCCTCTTAATGTTGGACCAAAATGTTGTTCCTTGTTTCTCTCTATCAACGATGGAAAGTGAAAACAATCCAATCCCTTATCAAGTGGTTAGGCTATGCCCAGGCCCATTTATTTTTTATACTATAATGTGATTTATGTTTAGACACATTTTTTAAAAATTAATGGGACAAAATAAAATTTATTTGAATAATTTCATTCAAAAGCTAATTGAAATGCATAATGACAAAAATATATGAGTTTTCTTGTAAACATTTTTTTGACTAATTTAATATTTTTAGGAAAAATTATTGAATTAAATTACAGTTTTTTTAAAAAATCTATATATAATTAAGTATTATTTATGAATATAAAATATTAAATAAATTAATAAATATTAAATTACATAATTTTAAATAAATTGATAGATTATAAAATGTTAAATTCAAGAAAAAAGGAAAATTCATTGAAAAAACAGAATAATAAAAAAATATGATATTAATAGATTAATGATTTTTATACTCCATCGGTCTACAGAAAAAATGAATGACCAGTTGAGATTTAAAGGAAAAAAGTGAGGGCCGCACAAAAAAAAAAGGAAGGAAGAGTTGAAGGGGTTTGGGGTTGAGGGGAAACCCAGGAAGAAAAGAAAAAAGAGTAACATAATTCCATTTAAAGAAATTGAAAAAAAAATATAATTTTATATCTCTATTTTGCTCAAATTTTAAAATATTAAAAAAAATAAAAATGTAAGGATCTAAAATATTAAGAAAGCATAAGAATTTATAATAAAACTTAAATAAAGTGTAAGAATCTAAAGTTATATTTTTTAAAAAATAAATTATTACAAAGAGTGGGTCTTTTTTTTTTTTAGAGTCTCATCTACAGCTTCCAAAAAAAAAAATACTTAGAATCCAATACATTTTAAAATTATTCTATAGGTTTAAGGATCCTTTTGCCAAATATATTTTAGGGTTACCACTAATGAACAAATTCCTTATTAATATGTGAATTTAAAATTATAAATTTATGAATATCTAATTGTAAAAATTTAAACTTACTGTTATGATGAACTTTAATTTTAAATATATAAAATCATAAATTCTGTACTTCGACTTGTGAGTAGATGAACCTTTGCTTGTGGATATTTAAATTTTAAGTTTTAAACTTATTAAATTAGTTTGGATGAAATGTCAACTCTAAACAAGAATTTCATTACTAATAAATAATTACTTATTAATATATAAATTTAAAGTTATGAATTGGTGAACATGTAGTTATAAAAGATTTAAACTTGCTGTCATGGTGAACTTTAATTACGAATTTATGAATTCATAAATTCTAAAGTTCGACTAATGAATAAATGAGCTTATATTTATGAATATTCAAACTTTAAGTTGAGAATTTATTTAGTTGGCCAAGGTGAACATGTAAACTATAAACAAGAATTTCACTATTAATAAACAATTACTTATTAATATGTGAATTTAAAGTTGTGAATTTATGAATATATAATTATAAAAATTTTAATTTACTATCACGATAAACCTTATTTCTGAATATATGAGGTCATAAATTTTGAAGTTTGACTTGTGAATAGATGAATTTTGACTTGTGCATATTTGCATTTTAAATTGAAAATTTATTAGTTAGCCAAGGCAAACATATCAATATTAAATAAGAATTTCACTTTCAATGAACAATTATTTATTTGTATACAAACATAAAGTTATGAATTCATGAATATATAATTGTAATATTTAAATTTGTACATGTTACCTTTTTCTTATTGAAGACAATTGTGTTCTTTCACCTTAAAATATATTTGCAAAAATATCTTTACACTTATAAAATAATTTTAAAATGTATTGAATTCTGTATAAGTCTAATTTTTTTTTCTTATGAGTCGAAGGTGAGACTCTCCTTTTGTTATTTTTTTTTTTTTTTGGGTGTTGATGTGGAGATCCCATGGCCCCTCTCTTGGATCCCAGCACTGTGTTTAGAAAGAAGCTCATCTCCTGAATTTCACATAAAATGAATCTTTTTTTTTTTTAAGAAAACCCTTTTCAAAATTTCTTATCCAAATAAAATATAAAATTTTTAAACGAGTTTTAACACCTCATCTATAAGGCTTGGGTTACTCCATCACCCTTATAATAGGTTTGGATATATATGAATTTTTATTTAAATTTAAATTTAATTTAAATCTATTATTTAGATAATTAAAAATATATAAATTTAAATTTAATTTAAATTTAAATTCAAGTTCTATCACTCAATCTTTTTGTAATTTAAAATTCATTCTAAATTTTTATTACTTCAAATTCTGCCTTAATTTCTTTATAATTTGACTGGCCCATTGCTTCAAAACCAACAGTGCAGTTCGGTCCCGTTAAAAGTCGGCTATCTGAGCAGCTGATTTTGACTAGGACCGAACTGCCAACGTTGTTCGAATTACTTTTAAATTTAAATATAAAATATAAAATATAAAATTTTACTTAAAATCAAAACAAATAATTTTAATATTATAATTTAAAATTTTTTATATTATCAAAATAAATAATTTAAAATTTATAAATTTTAAATATAAAATTTTAATTCAAATCTCCAATTCAAATTTACCCATCCAAATACCACTTTAATGAATTGAAGTCATTGGGTCTTTACTCTCTGGTCCTCTTGCCACTGAAGCTCGGCCTCCTCCTTCGCCGTTAAGCCATCCATTGCCGTCGTTCTCTCCTCCATCATCAAACCATATCTTCTTCAACGCCCCATCGTTGCCGTTCTCTCATCCTCCGATATCAACCCATCATCTATTCATCTCCATTGCTTTTCTCGTGTGTATTCCTCGTCTCTGACCTCTGACCGACTCATACCTTGCTTCTTGTCGTCGCCGGTTGTCTCACGCCAGGTTTCATCGTCTTTTGCCTTTGTTTTGCCATCGCTTTTTTTTTTTTTTGGCTGATTAAGCGATATTTCTATGCAAATGACGTTAGTTTAATATCTAGAGTTCTAGGGATGCCTTGTATTGTCATCACAAGAGATGTTTCTGGTTCAGTGGATGGCTTCTTGTCTTTTGCAAGGATATTTTATTCAGAACTAGTTTCCCTAGTCATTTCATCCTCAGATGAGATCTTAACGGCCGATTTTAAGTGTCATTATATAATTTTATATTTTTATTTATTAAAATAAAATTTATAAAATAATCTAAATAAATTTTTTATTTTTAATATGGTCTAAATTTAATTTAGAGAGTCTAATTCAATATTAAAATTAAAATTTTTATAATTGATATAAATTAATTATTCAGATGTTCTCTACACAATTTAGATAATATAATTGATGTATATCATGCAAAATATATCTGGATAATCAATATATATGAATTATAAAAATTTTAATATTAAATTAGATCCTTTGAATTAAATTTAGATCAAATTAAAAATAAAAAATTTATTAAAATTATTTTATAAATTTTTATTTTAATAAATATAATATAAATTATACTTGAAATTTGAACCATCAGATCTCAAATTGAACCCTAATTTATTCTGCTCCTATATTATGTATGACAGTGCCTAACGATTTGTGGTTTAATTTGCTACTGGATAATTGGGATTTATATGTGTTTTTTTTTATTAAACTGGATTTTCTATTGAGACTTTTTTACCAATATTTTTTAATTGGTTTATAAATTTTTAGTATATTTTATAAGATAGGATTTCATTTCATGATAACATGAGGTAGGATCGTTTTTAGATTTTTTTATGCTAATCACTCCCTCCGTTGAAAAATATAAAGTATTTTTTAAGGAGTTGAATGTTAGAAAATATAAAACATTTTTAATTTTTTGAGGTGCAACTATTGCCTTGTTTTCAAAATTTTTTTTATTGACAATGACTTTATATTTATTAAAGGGTGTTTAATAGAAATAAATATAAAAAGATAGGGTTAGTTTAAAAGTAGGTAACTATTTTATTGAGGGTGAGATTCAATTAAAAACGCTTTATATTTTTTAATGAAAGGAGTAGCAATTAGTAAATTCATGTCTAAAATAATAAATTATTTTTTCTAAATTAAAAAGTTTACTATATTTATTATAAATAATTACATTTATTTAATATATTTAATCATACACATTACAGCTATATAAAAAAACAATCTTACATGTAAATATGTACATAAAATAAATTCAAGTACTTTTTGGTCATTCTATCTTTAAACCGACTTTTAAATTTTAAATTATATCTTACAAATAGATTTCAATTTGTCAGGTGATTTTTTATTAAAAAAAATTTAAAAAAAAAACGCTTGATCTTTAATTTTAATTAATTACCAAAATAAAAAAAAGCTTGATCTTTAATTTTAATTAATTATGATTTTCATATATTTAAAACAGCATCTATAAATAGTAAAGAAATGACCCCGCTGCCGCACTCTCGTGTCTCGCCCTCGCCTTCTCCCCGCCCTCTCGCCTCTCACCCTCCTCTCACAAGAGAAGCGCCACCGTTCAGTGAGCTTGTAGCCGCTGCCGCCCTCCACATCTCCTGCTGTTGCATTACACTGTACACTTTTTCCTATGAATTTTTTTAGCAACCTTGGTTTTTGCTCAACATAACTGTATCAGGAAAATTTGAAGTAGGGACAGATTTAGGGCCGTGAATCAATGGCCTGAAATCTATTTTTAAAGAAAACAAAGAAAGAAAGGCAGCCTTGTTTCTGGTGTTATTTCACACGTTTGAGTTTTTCTAATTTTTTTTGGTCTTTTGAATTTAGCACTAACATATGCTTAACAACTTCTTAACAGGACTTGGGATCTCACTGAGGTTTGATTCTTGGAGGCCCTTTGCTACTCTAGATAGGATTTCCTATATTGACAACTGTGGTTAAAATGGATGATACTTTTATTAACGACAGGCCTGAGGATGTGTCCTGGCTATGTTCCCTTTCAGAGTCTGAGATTGTAAGTTTTTTTGTCACTTGAGTTGACCACACCATTTTTAATCGTATCTTTATTTATCGGTTCTTTAGTTGGAGTTTTGATTTCAGTCCCTTCGTATCACTTCAAAGATCAGTGGTATATCACTAGGTGGCTGTTAAAAGTTTCATGTTTCTTTTCATATTCTTGATGCTATGCAAAGATTCTTATATGCACCTCATAATATATAAAATTGCTAATGTACACCTCATGCTAATAAATCTATCTATAATTTTCCATTGCTTTTATTTCTGTTCCTATTATCTAAAATTTTCTCTGATGGGGCACTTGTTATTTTTGAGTTGACATGGGAATCTTTGTTGCTGTTTGAATCAGTGATGTTTTTATTGTTTCTCTATCTTTTCATTGACAACAAGGATGTGTTTTCATCTGTATCAGTTGTCATAAAATCATTTTGCATATATACACGTCAATGCCTGACATGTCTTTTATGTCTTTGTATGATGACCATGGTTAGCCTTGTTTGACAGATGATCCTTTGGGGAATATTGGACCAACTTAGAGTTTTACTTCCTATGAATAATTTTGACCACTAATTCAATCATTTTAGGGGGAAATATAACAAGAAAATTACTTTTAGTATCATGAATTGGTAATTTTTTAATTTCTGATACATTCTGTTTGCAAGTGAGACCTGAATTTTATGATAAAAGATGTTCTTTCACTGTCACCTGCCACAACTTTTGTATGACTTCACCCACATTTTTTTATTATTTCATTTGAGTCTTTTTATGACATTTGAAATTTTAAATTGTCAGGATATGCTGATAAATTTAAAGTTGTTGATCCTTCACCGTGCTAAGAGGATAGGTCATGTGCAACTAGCTGAGAAATTTGACCTTAAAGTGCTTCGAGCAATTGGTATGCCTTTATTTTTTGTTCCATACAATCTTCAATCTTCTTTTAAATTATTGTAGCCCTTTCTTGATATTGTCAAGTTGATGGATCTATATCCAATTGTCAGTTTATTATTGTCACCTTGCTTATGTCAAGGTGAGGCATGGTACAAGAGGCCCTATTTGAGAAGGCAAAAAATTGTAGATCATGACTTGCTAGCAACATGCTTCAACTTACCCCTTAGTGAATAACTTTGACGATACACACTAAAAAAATTAGCAATAGTCATTCAACTCTCCTTTTTTTTAAGCATATCTACTGTAACATTTGGTTATAGTACTTCTGTCCAAAGATTAACTGCATATGCATATCTCATGACCAAGATGCCTCGTATTTCTCAGCCACTTTATGACTTTATTTGTAAAGTTGAAATTCTAATGGTAATCAAATAGATAACTCAAATAAATAGGTAATTATTTATTAGGGATTGAAAATTGCTGACAGAGGAGCAATCTATGTGGTAAGACATATATGGTGTTTGGACGGAAATTGAAAACTAAGTAGCAAAGTGGATTATTTAGAAACATGTTAAAACAAAAAAATGCCATGACATGTGTCTGTACCAAATTGCTTCAATGATTATTTAAACACATTTATATATGGTGAATAATGCATTTCTGACATCCTATGAAATTTATGCAGCATTCATTTTGATAGAATATCTCAAAGAACAATTGAAAGATTCATCACTTACTCTAGATATGGTGAAGCCTGCTGCTTTTTTGGATGCTTGCAACTTTTTGAGATGTAATCATGAGGGTGTCATGAGTGTTGAAGATTTAAGTAAAAATATTGGCATTGATCCACAACACATTGTGAGAGGGTATGCTTACCTGCTTGAGTCTTGACTAACTTTTTTTGTGTGATGATTTTAACTTTTCCTTGATAGCCTACTCTAGTCCCAACTAGCATTTTTCAGTTAACCTTTAAACTTACTTGGTCAAGAATAAATAAAATTGCTTCAATTTGTACTATTTGGCTATACTAATGTTCCATGGCCAATTTGTTATTGTTATTATATATGAACAGCTGCAATAGGTTTTGCGCTTTTATGTTATTTAATTTAGTACACTGTCTCTAAATTAATTGCAACTTCTTGTTGTCCAAATATATATATATGGGTTCTTGTAGCTAGAACTCTAGTACTTACGAGTGGAGAACAAGTAAGAACCATTTGACACTTGTAAGTTATCCATTGAGATATATTCCACATAAGATGCATGACACTTGTAATAACTAATAACTAATGCACTTCTAACATCCCTTGAACCAAGCAAGATGCACGACACTTTTAAGTTATCCATTGGCGTTAGTTGCTGAAATTTCAAGTTTGCTAAGAACTTAGTCTCTAGATTCCTTAAAGTATCAATAATTATTTCATGTCTGTAATTTGACTAGTTTTTTTATCAATCAGTATCTTTTCCTCTTTGTTCATTTGTTGCTTCTTTCAGTTCCCCTCCTTCCACCCTATGTGTGGTTTTAAGTGTTTGTGATCAAGCTTTCAATAAAAGCTTGAAAATATGCCGTTCTCCTTATAGCATGGCATTATATGATTGATTCTCTCAAAAAGGTCCGCCACATGTTACTTTTATTGAAAAACTTGATAGCAGAGTCAAGTAAGAAGCCTTGTCTCCTTTCTCCCCTTTCTCCTTTTGTATGCTGTTGGGATCCAACCTTAATATTCTGTGGGCATTGAATGTAGATATACCGACTGTTACTGGTATAAATTGCGGGGAAATGCTTGCACCTGTGAACACCAATAGTTCTTGTTCGTCAGCTCTCTTATCATTTGCTCTTATTGCATATGGATATTGATATTCATGCACTTGCATATGGATATTGATATTCATGCACTAATTTGTTTGCACAGGCCACAGGAAGAAGCGGGTTTTGCACAAGAAGAAATGGGTTCAAATCTAAAAAAACGAAAAAGGAAGAGCTTTTTTGTCCGACACAAAAGGCAGAAGTTGAAAGCAGGGAACAATTAGATTTAATTGTTGAAAGGGCTGAAATTTATAGCTGATTGACGACTCACTCTGCCTTCTGGTGACTGGAACCTTAGATTTTGAATAACCTTAGCAACCTGGCAGTATTAGATCTATAGGTTTCCCCCGGCCGGGGATGTGATGAGGGCTTGTATTGTAGAGAACTAGTTGGAGAATCTGTTCATTAAATTTAAAAATTTGCTGAAAGTGTTGATTAGAGGCATTTATTTCAAAAGGTTTTTGTATTTAATTTAGCTCCATTGAAGTGATGAGTATGTTCATCAAAATTGAAATTAAATTTGTATATGTACTGTAATTTGTTTATGGATCTTTTATATCACAGGGCATTCTTCAATGCAAGCAGGCTAAGTGTTACTGTTTCGTGGAGAGTTGAGGTTGATCTATTGTGTAGTATACTTGGAGCATGTTTGGTTCAATACGATTGCACATGGTAATGAGTATTGCATTACCATTAAAAGAATTGTTTCGTTGGCTTTAGGTGGCTTCATGATAATTATTAGTACACATCATTACTAAAAACTTAGCCCTCCTGGAATGAATTTTTATTGCATTTTATTACCATCTTTCAAAATTGCCCTCTTTTTTTCTATCCCTCCCCGTATTTCCATCTGAATCACTTCTTCCCTCATCATCATCGTCCGCCTCCCCCTTGTCTTTGCCATTAGCCATTCCTATCATCTCCACCACCATTGTCTGCCTACCCCTTCATCTTTGCTGTCAGCCGTTCCTATCATCTCTATCACCATCATCGCCACCTCTCTTCTACCCCCACCATCAGCCTCTTCCTTCTTCATCTCCCCTACCATCACTACCTCTTCTCTCTCCATTTGTCCTCTCTCTTCATTGACCTCTTCATCTCTCTTCCTCTGCCGACCTTTTCATCCTCTCCATCATATTTGGTGTCGGAGAGCCTTCTCCAGTGCTAACCAAGCCTTCTCCAATGCAAATCTCTAGCACAGTATTATTTCTTTCTCCTTGTCTTTCATTCTTGAATCCATAGACTATCTATCTATCTCCAGCGACGCCCTCTCCCCCCCCCCTCCAGTGTCTTTCACACCCTTAGATTTATTTATGACCTTTGAGTAGTCATATGAAGTGAAAATTTCATGTATGGTTCTGTAACAGCGATGGGAACAGTAATGTTATCACCTACTCAGATTGTGTAACAATTTAAATACAATTGATATAGTTGATGGTGGTTTTTGGGGATAGAATTTATGGCGTCAACCTAAAAGTTTTATCATTTTTCTAATTTCTTCCCTAGCAGAATGTGAAAGATTACTTTTTGATTTACCAAAAGCAAAAGAATAATTAGTAGCAATGTCAAATCAAATATTTGGGTATCAAATTTGGTTTATTTTATGATGTTTCCTATTTAAACTTATTAGTTTCATCATTATTTATAACAGTTCTTTATTCTATTCTGTTCATATTTGTTTTTGAGCTTTTTGAAATAAATAAAACATGTGGAGTTTTTGGAACTACAATTGGTTTCTTTATAACATGTGGAGTTTTTGGAACTACAATTGGTTTCTTTATTTGTTCTTGTTCCTTTCTATCACAATATAGATTTTGCCTAGGCAAATAATGGATCAATTATTAAATCTTGGGTGGAAATTTCTTTTAACTATTTCTCTAGGCAATCTATTACTAACAATTTCATTTCAATTGTTTTTATTGTAAAAGATTGATATTAACAAGAGAAAGAAACAAAACCAAAGTATTCATAGATATTCACAATATGTTCTTCATGATAACTGGGTTCATGAATTATGTCTACGATCCTTTCTGGTTCGATTTTTTTTTTATTGATGATTTTTTTTTCTTGGTTCATTCTGGTCAAGAATCATATGGGTTTTCATAGATTGTTCTCATATGAATCCCTAAAATGCCGTGTCAGTTGGTGGTTTGGTCAAAGAAGGAAGCGGGTGGGAATGAATTTCCAGTAAAAGGGCATTTTCGTATCTCTTTTAAATCAAATAAAAAAATTAAATTTCTTCGTCTCAATCCTAATAACATACCAAACATTCTCATGGTAATAGACATTGCGTTTTAAGATTGATTGTAATTGAACTAAACGGGCCCTTGGTTCTTTTCCTGTTAACCACTTACAGTTTTGTAGAGTTACATAGGTTTTACTAGATAATGCCAAAGTTCTAAGGTCAAAATAAGAGATTAAAAATAATGCATGAATAATTTTTGAATAAGAAAAAGAAGAGTAGATAAATTGAAATCATGTGTAATATTAGTTTTTATAATAGATAATTTCATATGCTAATATGTTCTAAATTTTAATATTTTAAAATAAATCAAATAACAATATATCCGACTAAAATTTTATCTCATCAACATTTTCAATCAACTACCAATAACAGCATGCTTCTGGTAAGCCACATTTTATCTCGAGTTCTCAAGAGCAGAGTTCACGGTGTATGTCAGTTAGAATAGCGCAGTTTATCCGATTAAAAAGACCTCAGCATCCTCAATCCAAGCCCACAGATGGAGATGTAGCCGTCTTTGGAGGCTTTAAATGTATGTAATACTTAATATAGACTCTCCATATCAAATTTTCATCCGTCAATTAATATTTCAAAAGTTATATAATTTTTAATATATTTTGACATTATGAATCAAGCCCATCTTCCATGAGAAAAAATATCTGTTAAATAATTAGTATGACCAACAAGAGCTTCGTCTAGTAAAAGAAATTCATTATTTACAATGTGATGAAACAATATTCAAATCTTTGTTGGAAAGTATTTTTATTTATAACATCCGATGGTATCTTGAATATAATTATCTCTCATAGTAACTACTTACACGCGATCAAAAAAAAAATCAGCGTGACCAATGCGTTTGGCGTCTCCCAAAACTTGGAGCAGCTAGAAGGGAAGCACAATTCATAAATGTTCTTTCGTTTCGAAACTTCAGCACAAAATATTGTGAAGAACAAGCATTAATGGTGGTTTCGCTTTGAAAAATGTCACTGAGTATGGCATGTTGTTGAATTTGACTTGTGACGAGAATGCAAAATATAGAAACTAGTAAAGCAGCTGGCGGTTTTACCCTGCGCTATATAAAAGACAGTAGAGCACCCAGACACAAATTGAGTAATTCCTGAGAGTATGAACTATATATCTCATTAAATTTTACCAATCGATTCCATTTACATCACAATCACTCACATAGCTACGGCCAGATCCTCTAACTAAAGTTTCCCAAGTATATTTCCGAGGCAACCAGGTTGACATCACAATGTCTTCAATCTTCATTATTATTAACTCAATAGGACTGATCATATTCTTCGCATTTTAGTGGCCAATATTCACTTGAGATCCGTGAGATACCACCCTACCGGCCGAGTCACCCATCATTTTGACACTACTATTCTCCAATCCACTTTTCAACCAAGCAAGGTTACTGATGTCTGTAGCTATGGCTGCCAACTCAAAACTCGGGAATGATGGGGCCTCTGAAAATTCAATAAATTCTGGCCCCAACAAGGAGCTCTTGGCATTTTCACCACTTAGATCAGTGCAACAACCATGGCTACAGTGGTTAGGCACAGATAGGTCACAGCCATAAATTCCATCCAGCATTTTACAAATTTCAATACCAGGCTTGGATGCTTGAAAAAGAGGTCCTTGCATTGGAACTTGCCTAGAGGTAGAAGATGCAGGTTGTGAACCATCCAATGTATATAAACTAAAAGCACTAATACGCGCTCGAGGACGGAAAAGAGTAGGCGAATCCTTGACTGCATGGTTCATTTGACTCTCTGTCTGTGCCCTGTCTTCATATTTATCCTCCATATTCTCCACAGAACTGACATCTCTTCCTTCCGAGGATCTCAAGGAATTAACATCCCCACATGACTGGGTTTCTTCTGATGATGCTTTTGCTTTCTCCAAGCTAACATCTTCCACCATGTTGCAAGCTTCTAATTTAACTTTATCAAGTTCTATTCCCCGACGCCTCAAAGTAGAATTCCAATGATTCTTAATGGCATTATCTGTTCTTCCTGGTAGAAGTCTGGCTATGGCTGCCCATTTGTTCCCATGGATTGCATGTGCTGCAACTATGATCCGATCCTCCTCATCTGAAAAGAGTACATTAAATAATTTGTTTACTGATAGGCAATTCACAAATCATTGCATAAGATATTTGCATGGAATCAAGAAAACTCTAGTCAACTGTGTACTAAATAGAGGAATAACTTCTAGTCAGCTTCTAAATGAAAGGAAATAAATAAAACCATTAAACAGGAAAGAGATGTCTTAAAAACAGAAAAATGACTAAAATGACTCAAACCTGCAAAAATGAAGCATTTAAGCCTCAAAACAACCCCAACTGGGTGAACCCTAGTGGAAACATCAACAATCTCAAAACAACAAACCTTTTAATGCTCTGAGACGTCCACAAGAAACTTAAAAAAAGGCTATTCAAACTAGTATAAGCCCAAACTTCTCCCAGATCAAGAGTTAGAACCTTTCAATGGTCTGACAACCAAAGGCCTCTCTAGCCTTTACATTTGGGATCAATCAGCGTAGTCTATGAAATTTTTCTTTTTTGAGTGCACGTAGCTGTATTTTCCACACAAATTTTGCAATACTGAAAGCGATCCAATTACATTCCATGGATGTATCTCCTCTCTATCAAGCATTTAAGGCATGCTTTTGAACAGCATGATAGTAAGTAATCTTCTCAAGTTATTTTCCAAACCGAAGATTAGTGTAAGCCAATAGGCAGAAAGCTTTAAATTCCCATTCAAAGGCTCCGAAAGGTTAGCAATTTAAAGCTTTATGATATTAAGGTGTCCCAACAATTGATAATCCAATACAATTAGTCATGCAAATTGACAGCTTATGATTGTAAAATTAAGTAGGATAGTTTTAACCTGAAACAGTTCTGAGACAATGGAACTGACACATCAAACTATTAATTCAAATAACCAAATCAAAATCGACAGTGAAAGCGTCCTAAAATTTAGACAATATTCTGGGCCCATGTAAGCTTCTCTGGTGATAGCAATCCCAAAAGGTTCAAAACACTAAAATTCAAACCCAGCAAGCTGATAGAATCTTATGAATATTCTTTTTGTATAAGCATGCCAATAGCTTCGAGTCATTTGCCAAGGTTGCCATAAACAGGACTTGTCAGATGAAAAATCACAACTTTTATTTGCATTTGAACCACTACCAGAAAAGGAGTTTCTTATTTTTCAATCAAACATCTAATAAGCAACCCAAACCTAAAGGGATTAGCTAACTGGTGAGAGATAGCATTTATTGTTATCAACCAAGATTAGATTCCTTTGGGGAACACTTTGGAAGCAAAATTTAAAATCCAACAGGATGATTTCAAGGATTGCTCCCTTAAGATTGCGCACAAATGAACACCTAGCCCCAAGGCAAAGCCCAAGTATAGCCCCAACATTAATACTTTTAAAAATTCTAATAAGCAGACTAGAGGTAAAACCAAATGTACACCATTTTTGGCATTTTGTACCAAGCCAAGCCTAGATATTGTACCATAAATGTCTGTGTATATGTTTGTCCTCCTCCAAACAACATAATGTGTAATAATTCTGGAATACAAGCAACCCAAACCAAATGATCCACATGGCTATAGTATTGCAATCATCGGAGTCCTTTACCAAAACAACCACCACCTTATCATCAAAATCAAAGATATCATTCAGGCTTCAGCATAGCCCTCTTAACTACCATCATGACAAAATTAATAGCCTGAAACTCGATGAACTAACAGCTAACTTAAAGGTCGGAGCTCTTAAGGAACAAAGCACACAAGTCTTGTATAATAGTATAGATGCTAGTAAACCGTAATGAGCAGTACCAACAAGAAATTCGTCAAATACCGTTTCGACTTGCAACTCACAAACTTGCGGTTGAGGAAAACTGGCCTTTTGACATGACTTCAAAGTCTCTATAATCAAACAATCAAGAATACAATCCTGATCGCTCTCCATTCTTAGTTAAAATTAAGTTTCAGCACAAAGTGTAATGGACCCGTGCCCTTATCGACATATCTAACCAAAAATACTCTTGTATTTGAGACATGTTAGAGATTATGGCAAGAATTATTCATCCACATTCATTTAACAGATTAGACTTCGGAGGTGAATTGGTTATGATCATTGCTTAAGCTCAAACTTTATATTGCATAATCTATACTCCAGAAGCTCAATTTTTTAAAAAATTTTTACACTTGAATTCCAAAACACACTTAAATTACTAGGACTACAAATGCAAATGTAAATGCGAATATAAAAAATTCATTGAATAAAGTAAGAGGACCATACCAGTAAAGGGCTTGCGCTTCACAGCTGGGTCGAGTTGATTACACCATCGGAGCCGGCAAGACTTGCCGGATCTTCCAGCGATCCCGCGAGCAATTAAGCTCCAATTTCGGGCCCCGAACTTGCTAACAAGTCGACTCAGAATAGCGTCCTCCTCTGGAGACCAAGGACCCTTTACTCTGTCTCTAGCACCCTGAGAGCTACTCCCACCTCCGTCACCTAACGCCGTTAAACCCTCATCGCCACTACCGCCGTCTCCACCACCGCCAACGTCTCCTGCGGGTGGTCCGTCGAGCTCAATGACAGGTTTTTCATCCAGTTCCATGTGACAGTCCCTTCACCACACTATACACCTAAGTTGAAGAGCAGCACTACCAATTACAAAAAGAGTAAAGAGAAGAGAACGGAGCAGACCGCGTAGAGCAAACGTTGCGGGATTTGCTCCTCCTTTTCTACTGTGGTGAATTTCTGTTTCGCTCCCTGATATAACATTCTCCCTTGGTCCATGTGTATGAAAAGATTTTATTGAAATCACACAAATCAATAAAAATTATAAATTAAATTAAATTTTTTTAAAATAAATTAATAAAAATATTTATTTTTTTCTCTTTTTAATATAATAAAAATATACTAACAACCTTTTATATTTAAAAAAATTATAAAAGACTTTTTATATATAAAAATGAAATGAATATACATGCATATATATACACATCTAGTGGAGAAAAAAAAATTAAGCCTTAATAAGAACTTACAGTCTGACTTACTTTAATTTCAATCTAACTTATTTACTAATATCAGACTGAGACCTTTAATTAGGCCTATTTAATTAAATAGGTTAATTTTATTTTTTTAAGGTCTAGTCTACGAGCCCAACAAACTGATTTATTTACATACATATATATGTATAACATAATATATCACAAACACATCAATTTCACTATTTAATTTTTAATTAATATATTTTTATTTTTAGTTATATTTTCAATCATATTGAATTTATATATTAATTTTAATGCTATTATTTTATTGTTATATTGTATTATAGTTGGTAAGTTCTTTTAATTATTATATATTGTAATTAATAAATTGAGTTATATATTGTATACTATAATAGTGCAAACATATATTTAAAATATTTAAAATTAAAATGAGAACCTATTTTAAAGGTTTACTTTTAAATAAGCTTTCAAATTAAGCGAGATTTTAAATAAGCTCAGACTAAATAAGGTTCAGGCTTGCAATTTACCATACAAGTTCAAACCTATTTAGATAAAGCCTAGTTTGATCGAACCTATTTTCACCCACATACAAACCACTCTAGCCCTAGCGATTTTCACTCAAAATTAAGACATCTTATAATAATTAAAGTATTTTTTTAATTTTATTTTTTATCAAATAATATCATTATTTAAAATTAAAAATAAAGATATATATTATTTTTATAATATAAAAAATTAATTTTTTAAAATACATAAAATAATTGAGAGCATTCAATAATAAAAACCAAAAGGCGGTAGATATCAATGGTCACGTCTTATTTATCATTTAATCATATATTTTTATCAAACGTTTAGTCATATTATCTATCACCTATGATAAATAGTAAATATTTTATATATTTTAAAGTTTTTAATGCAATAAATTATAGAGAAAATTAGCTCAATGGCTTCAAAAAATACAACTCTCATAAATTATAAATGAGATTTTTAAATATTTTGAAATATGGTCCATTCATAAAATTAATTAAATGTATTTTTTTTATCCTCAGAATAAATTTATTATTAAAACAAAATATATTTGATTTAACTAATCTTTAGCTAATTGAATCTTTTATTTTTATCATAAAAAATCATATTGTATGTGCTCCCTCTCTGATTTATCAACTCTGAATATTTTTTTTATCATATTTTTGGATCTAATTTTTCTTGATCATCATATTCATCTCTTATATAGTGCTTTTCTTCATCAAAATTTTTTATCTAATTTTTTTAGATTACCATCTTCATTATAGAGCGCTCTCTCTCTCTCTCTCTCTCTCTCTCTTTGTTTTTTTCAAATATTATGAAGAGGACATTAGATATTAAAAAAGAAACTCCATTACTAATTTGCGCTACTATATCATTGATATACGGTTGTATATCAATGACAAACAAATTGATAAGTTAAAATCACTAATATGGCTCATATGTTAGTGATATATGATCTTATATCACTGATATACTATCGTAGATCAACATAACCGGACAATCAAATATAAACTTGTTTATAATTGATATATAGTCATATATCAATGATGTAGTATTGTAGATCAGTAACATAAAAAACATATAATTATTTTTTCAAAACAGATCAAACAAAATCTTAAGAAATTCTCATTTGAACTATGACTTTTGTAACAGAGTTTAACTGAACTTCCTCACCCTGGATCTGTAGTTTAGTGTGACTTTGTGTAGAAGCTGCAGTTTCGAACTTCCTCACCTTGCATTCGTGATTTTTCAACCTGAATCTATAGTTTCCAGTCTGTCTTGCCTTGCATTCTTGTAGTCTACTAGCTGAATCTCTAAGTTCATTCATCCATCGGTGTAAGCTGTTCCATTGTCTGTTGTTAATTTTTTTATTGTTGTGATCGAGAGTGCAGTGTCATCTCTACATCTTCAGGTGAGTGAAAGTAAAACTAATGTGAAAAGAGAAATCAGGATATTGTAATGTTAAAGGATAGTTTTGTCTTTTGCATTAAAGGTAAATTAAAAAATAATCATTATCTTAATTTAAAAAAGGTGGGTTATTAATTTTATTTAACCATATATTATTGGATAAATTTGCTAAAAGTCCGAAATTATAGATATTAAATTAAATGAATTATCATCAGTCAATATATCATATATATATATATATATCAAAATAAAATAAACCTTGCAAAAGTTCGCCAATGCTAGCTTTATGAACAGTAACGATTCAAGCATTGGGCTCCGTGAAAGTCCACCCTGTCAGCATCCTCTCTATATAATATATATAGTATGTCTCAAGTAATAGCCTCCATAAGCTTGGATTTAATTTTTTTTATTTTTTTTCTCTTCATTTTTTCTCCACTTCTCATCTCAATCGTCAGATTTATTTTTGAACGGTTGAGATTTGATATTTTATAAAATTATTATAAAATTATTAATAATTTTATAAAATATTAAATCTCAACCGTTCAAAAATGAATCTGACGATTGAAATGGAAAGTGGAGAGAAAGTGAAAAGAGAAAAATGTGAGGAGAAGCTGGGTCCCATAAGCTTATGTTTTGCATTTCAAAACCCTTCACATAGTACATGCCTCTTCTTAATACCAATGATATTTGGTTAACATATTTTTTTACTTATCTTAATAAATTTTTTATATATTTAATTTTGTTATTTTGTTATAATTTTATAATATTTATTAATATTGTTAGGGATCACTGGATGCAATAGTATTTCAAAAATATATTATCTTGATTCTCTTGATAAGAAAATAGGGAATCAATAAATTTTATTAGGGTTGGTTAATATATAAGCATATAAAATAAGTATTTCATATACTTATTTATTTATTCAAATTTCAAAATGAGATATTTTTAACTTTTTTATTAGGGTGATTATGTTGTATTGCTCAAACATGAAACAAACAATTTCAAGATTTTTAAATTTCAACATGGCCTACATTTGAAATATAATAAAGGTAATTAATATAGTATTGAATTTAAATATTCATAGCTTTTTAATAAATTAATACATATTTATTGATTCTTTAATTTGTAGTGCTTGAGATGAAAGAAAAACAACTTGAATTGTAACTTTTGCCTAATAAGGTTCATGAACGATATTATTATCTATAATAAGAGCACAATTCTTAAGATGATATATCAACAATATTCACTTTTATAAATGCTAATGAATTTAATTTATTTAAATGAATTTATGGTGGATAATTTATACATTGCAATACTGTGAGGATTCTTACATTGAAGAATTCAAGAAAGCCCAACTAAATGGGGTAATTGAATAGTAGTGCTAGTACGTGTTTCAAGTATGGTCATTGCACAAAAACAAAATCAACAAAACTAGTGGAACTAGGATTAATATATATAGTTTTACTAGTTTCCATTACTTGATATAAGTTGGTAAATTAATTTATTTTAGAAATCTCTATACATTGATTACTTGATATATTAGAATAAGAGATTTTTTTTTGTTTCACTTTGCATTGATTACAATCCAATTCAATTATGGAATAAATGTTGAAACTTAGAATTGCTATATAATCATTTTTTTGTATAGCTGTTACAAGAAGGTAGCTATAAATAAAAACCCTCCTTAAGAAAATCAATGAATAAATGATGGTTATTACTTAATTGTCATTTATTCTTGAATAAATACATGTAAATTAAATAAAAAAATGATAGAAAAATTTATTTAAATTATGTAAATGATAGATTGATCCCATGAAATGGAATAATTTTTCTGGAGTTCTATGAATTTTTTTTCATTAGAGAATTAAAAGAAATGATTAAATTGATCTCAAATAAAATAAAAATTTTTGGAGTTGCGAATGATTATTGAATTATTGTAAATGTATAAACAAAAGTTATTAATATGGAATAAAAGTTGTGAATGAAAAATTATAAATTTTTAACACATGATGCAAATCAGAACTTGTGAATAGCTGTTAAATTATTACGAATTTAAAAATAAAAGTTATTAATATGTGAACAGAAGTTGTGAATGGAAAGTTGTAAATTTTTTTAATATGAATAAAGGGTAAAAGTATCATTTCTTATAATTTCCTAATTATAAAAATGTTCCTTGGGATTCCAGAAGAATTATGCCATTTCGTGAGATTAATTTATCATTTACATATTTTAAATGATTTTGTTTTGTCATTTTTCCAATTAAATAACCATCATTTATAATCACAATAAATGATGGGTATTTAATCTACCCACAAATATACTTTGGTATCTATCTGAGATGCCAAAATTTACTAAAGAAAAAATAACTGGGAAATTAAATACCCTGCATTTATTATGACTATAAATGGCAGATATTTAATTTACCAATTATTTATTTTGAAAATTTATTAATTATTTACCAACTTACAAAAAAAGCCAAAAAAAAAGAATAATTTTAAATGATGGGTTATTTAACCATCATTTATAAATAAAAATAAATAATGAGGATATAATTATTATTTATTTAGGGGATTTTAAATGATAGAATAATAAATAATAGTTGAGAACCGTCATTTATAAGTAAAAAAAATGTCGTTTATGCCTTGTAGTAGTGAAACTCTGTGTATTTGTATTATCATGAATTAAGAATAATTATATTTTTTTTTGTACGCAAATATATAAATATAAACGACCACTTGACAAATATTTCTCGGATGTAAGAATGAACTCATAAATCAACGGAATAT